CTCAATCCGTTTTGTGCGAGCCTGTCAAGTAGTCAAAATTCATGTCTTGTAGTGTTTCTTTGCATTTGTACCAATCGATCTTGTTCCCAGCGAGTTGTCAGGTACGCTTGTGAACAGCAGCGGCTCTCGTAATGAGAGAAACGACACAGGCCCGGTGGTGGACACGAACAATCCAATTGCTTGTGGTAGTTGCGAATGTGTTGACTTGCCCAGCAGCGCTCCGTCTGCCTGCGGAAGCAAGTTGCGAAGCTCACAACGATATGACGAGTCTTGTTGATGAGACTGAGGTCCTTCATTCGTGGGACTTCGTAACATAGCTCTCGAGAGCTCTGCTCACAACAAGCTCACTTCGTTTTGAAGCGGAGGAGCTTCACACGCTGCAAATCACAGGCTTGACCTCAACCGAGTCATTCGAAAAGTAGACATGTTGCGTTCGACTCGTAGACATCGTACAATCGCAGGCTTCACATGCTCCGTGGAGTAAAGGAGTGCGCCCGACGCAGCCTAGAGAGCTCAAAAGGAGATCAGCAAAGCTGGACGCTCAGCTTCCCACAGTTTAGTACCCGCCTCCGTACCCGCCTCCATATCCTCCACCATGGTTGTTGTTGTTGTATCCACCCTGACCATATCCTCCGGGAGGAGGGTGCTGCTGCTGCTGACCATAGCCCTGTTGACCATAACCGCCGGGAGGAGCGTCGTATCCCCCCTGACCAGGAGGTGGACCACTAGGAGGAGCATATCCTCCCTGACCCGGGTATTCCTGGGTGCGGTATCGATCATGCCCAGTAGGTTCGGCCTGAGGGAACGAAGGCCTATCATAGCCAGAGCCTTCACGACGATCTCCATCGTACCCTCCAGAGCCTTCACGACGTCCACCATCGTAGCGGCCAGAAGCCTCTCGACGACCGTAGTTGTCGCCATCACCACCAGGGCCTTCACGGAAGACCTGTCCTCCAGGGAAGTTGCCTCCACCAGGAACGTGACTCCCGACAAAGCCGTGGACCTGGTTGGAAACGTAGTTGGAAGCATAACCAGCCATTTGCGACCCAATGCTGTTGCTGCCACCTCCACCTCCGCTGTTGTTGCCTGGGTATCCACCTCCACCGCCACCGTAGTGATGGCTGCTACCAAAGTTGTGTGCTGCCTGACTGTTTCCGCCGCCCATGAAGGAGCCCATGTTGGGCTGGTCGTCACCGTGCGTGTGAGGCTCGGCCTTACCACTGCGAGTGTTGGAGTGAGCACGAACGCTTTGCTTGCTAAGACGTCCGATCTCGGTCGAGTGGTTCCTAGCCCAGTCAGCAACGTAGTCCATCATCTCCTTCTGGACTTGAGCCGCGCCGTTGAACCAGTAAGGGTGGAACATGACAGCAAGACACTCATCAGCAACCCGGTGAGGGTCCTGGCCACGGTCATCCCATGCCTTGACTACCTTGGTGACGGTGTTGCGGACGATGATCTTGGCAACGTTGCCGGCAACTTCGTTAAGAATGAGACCGAAGTGGTCCTTGCTAAGCATCGAGTGGGTGGGGTCGGAGGCGTTGGGGTTGTCAAACACCTCGAACTGCTCCTGCTTGTTAATGACAGCACCGGAACCCATCTTGAGAGCGTTCATACCTTGCTGCATGATAGGCTTGGCGTAAGGCTCGATGAGAGTAAAGACAAAGATGTTGAGCTCATTGAAAAGCTTCTCCACGAGACTGCTGAGACCGGGGATCTTTTCGATGGTGCCTTCGATGCTCTTGACGATGCGGTCACGGAGCTCGAGGATCTTCCACAGGTTGGCGTACATCTCTTGAGGTGACATGTCGGCGGGGTTCGAGACGGGTCCACGCGAAACATCCTCGAGGTCGCGAGAGGCGTTGTCGCCTCCACCACCGGGGATCTTGGCGAGCATTCCGAGAAGATCCTGGATGGGGCTGCGGTTGGTACCGCTCGACTTCCTCTTGGCGTCGTCCATGGCCTTGTTGAGATCGGAAATCGAGGCTTCGGAGAGATGGTCCTGAGCTTCACCGAGGAGAGAATGGATGAAGTCGGCGCTTCCGAAGGTACCAGTAACGATGGGCGCAACCTGGGTTCCGTCAGGAGCACGGACCTTGACATTGTCACCGACGTGAAGGAAGACATTGTGGTGGCCAAGACGGTGGAGAGCGAGTTCGGTCCAGTTACTGTGAGCGGGGAAGTCCTCGAGAGTATGGAGTGCCTGACCGAGAAGACGGTATGCCTCGTACATGTCTTCATCTCGTCCACTGTCACGGGCCTGTCGACCAGTTTCAATGACACGCACAAGCGTCTTTCGGATGAGTCCTGAACCAGTTCGCCAGTTACCGTTCTCGTTGGCGAGGTAGTTCTTCATACCAGAACGGGAGTCGATCTCGAGCTCTTCAGGGTTGATAGGCTCACGAAGACGAGGATCGTACTCGCGAGCATCCTTGCCGTCAGCGTAGCCCTTAGGGTTATCGAGGTGCTCTTCGGGCAAGTACACGCCGAGTCTCTCGTCTGTAACCTGGAACTCGGCAGTGGCGTAGCCGTGAGCCAAGAAGCCGAGCACCATGACGATGTTGAGAACAGCTTGCTTCGACATCTTTTGCAAGGAAGCGACGTCCATGGCCTGACTGTAGTCTCGCAGCCAGTTACCGAAGTAGGTGCGCTTGATGTCCAAGCCGCCGAACTTGCTCGAACCGAAGAGCGAGCCACCAACCTTCTTGGCGAGCTCTTCGAGGATGTCCTCGATATCACCGTGACGGAAGGCCTTACCCTCCATGTAAGCGAAAGAGGGGATGTTACCAGCACCGAAGGCGTAAGCGCCTGGTACGGCGGAGACGGCGATGATGAACAAGCTGACAATGGCCACGAAGAAGAAGCGCCCGTCGAGGAAGTTGCGACGGCCTTTGGAGGGACCAGCAGCGGGCTGGGGCTGAGAGTTCTCAATAGAGGCATTGTTGGAAGCGAAGAAGTCGGAGTCTTGCGAGACATCCGCAAGAGCTTGCTCGATCTCTGAATTGGAGCACACCATGGTTGGTTGATCTTGTGGTTCGGCCACTTCTGAGTCTTTAGGTTCTTCAAGGGTTGGTGTTGCAGCGGAGCGTCTTTCGAGAGCAAGTTCGTCACGAACAGCGTTGACAATATCTGCTGCGTCTCTGTTGGCGGCGTCGATGTCTCGTTCCAGGTCCGAGTCTGAGAGATGGTCAGGGTCGGCGTCGTAGGAGTCCAAGACGTTGTCTCCTGTAAATTGTTCCAGGTCGAGTTGATCTCGCGTTAACTGAATCAAAGCGTCGATCTCGTCTTGCTCGTCGCGAGGCTTGACAGGTTACGACTCTTCTGTCTGAATGGGCAGGACCTGTTCTGCTTTCGATGGCTGCGATGCGTCCTGAGAATGAAGCTTGCGAAGCCGTTCGATCAAGTCTTGATCCGGATCAGCTTGTTCTGGTGAGGTTGAAGAAGTAGCTGAGCCTTGTGGTGTGATCGCTTTTGCGGTTCGAGGTTTTGTCCTCGGTGCAGATGTATTGAGGGGAGGAGAAGACGAACTGTTTGGGGTTGCTGCTTCGGGTTGCTTTCCTTGACGTAGAAGTCGCAAACGCTCTTTCAGTGCTTCGTCCTTCATGTGATGGACGTCTCGTTCAGAAGAACACTAAACGCACCAAAAACTTTCACACCCGCTCAGTGATGCATGCGCCAACGTGTTCGAAGGATCTAGGCTTTGTGCGTGGCTGTGAGCGCAGCCTACATTTGACAGCTCTTGAAAAGCTTGGCGCCTTCAGCAGAGCGCAATCAACGGTCCGTGCGCTCACATGGGAAAAAAAAAGAGTTGATGCATCAGCACAGCCAAACGCGGGAACCGCAGGCCCGTGCGTCTGTTCCTTCCCGCCTTGAACGACGATCAAACGTGTCGTACGACTTCCAGAATCCCTGTCCTAACCTGACTTCAAAGCATGACTAAGGACAAGTTGGACACAGGCAATACTTTTGATTAATGAGCTGTTTGGACCTCCTCGGCTACGGCGAAGGTCGAGCAGTTGGAGCCTAGACGGTTCCTCCGTCTTCTAGAGCGATCCCGAGTCATATGAACCCTTGCCACCTTAGCAAGATACCTTGTCAGAGAGGTCCACTGCCGAACTGCCCACTTCCTTGCCACGCCCTCCAACGTCATTGTAATGCCTCGCATGGAAGTCCACAGTATGATCAAGCGTTGCAGAAGCCGCCTAGCCTCTTGACAAGCTTAGCAGAAAAGCGCACGTTTTAAATATCTTTTCAGCCTTTGTCTGCAAGCCCTGAGCTGCAGCACATACATGTAGCTCTGTTTCGAAATGGCAAGCATTCTGCACGTTCCTTCATAGCCGTGTTCAGACCTTCTACATTGAAGCGCCTGAACTTCAGTTTGTCCTCAAAGATAAGTGTGAGCGTGGCCTCAGCTGTCAAGTAACGAGCACGGTCAAGGGGACTGACAGTGTCGAGTGAGTTAATAATAAGGCATGCAAAAATACGAGTCTACATCCAAGTCAATTGTCTCAGGGTCTCAACCGGGCAAACTGTTTGGATTTCAGCGCTTTTGCCCCTGCCAAAAAAAAGTTTAGTTTTCAGCGCTTTGGTAGCCCCCATAGTCTCCAGACAATTTAGCGCCGAGTGCTGTGCCCGATCAGCACGACTCTTTTACCAGGCCAGCTCGAGGCTTGTTTGACTCCAACTCGACTCTTGTAGGACTCCGGCATTACTCTTGTACAAGATTAATTCGACTCTTGCCAATTCCGTCTTGTTCTTTGTAAGCTGCCAGCAGGAACTATGTGCGACTCTAGCTCGACTCTAGTCAGAGGCCAGCACAACCCCTTGAAGATGAATAATGGAATCGAACGGAAAAATAAAATTGATCAAGATAAAATAGCGCAATTCATTGTAACCCGCCTGCCTCCGCATATTTTAAGCGTTGGGATCGTCCAATCTTACCCCAATCATCCCATCAATAGTATATATATTCAATCTGCCCTTCATTACAAACACCATGGCAGGCTGCTTTCGTCTAGTGGTTAGGATAACTCCTTTACAACAAAATCTAACATTTCTAACGGAGTAGATCGCAGGTTCGATCCCTGCAAGTAGCAATATCCTTTTTGCTAGAGTGATGGACCCTGTTCTTATACGACTATCTTCAACGTGTAGGCTTATGATTGGCGATCTTTCCACTCCGTTGCGCGGTCTTCGAACGCGCTTATTTTCCGGATGGCAGATACAGTAGGGAGCTAGAATTCTTTGAGAATTTAGATTTTCAATTTTTGACATGCACAAACTCTGGAGAAGATCATCGATGCCACACCCTCTCATCAGGATCGACGTCGGCTACAAGAATACGATGTCCTCCTTCTCAGCAGGTTTGACGTGTTCCTATCTGACATCCCAGCTATTACTGTTCCATCTGTGGCTCAAACCTGAGGCCTATGAGATGCTTGTACTCGATCGCTAGACTCTAATATTGGCGTAGAAACGAGCCCATCGTCTTCCTCTTTCGAGCTCTTCTGGCTCATTCATTCCGGAAGATCAGGGATGGGCTCCGTCGCTAGATACTTGTGAACCACAGCCTCATGTCTCACGAAACACACTGGGTGCATGCGGATTACTTTATCATATTCAAGAGCAGATCAGAGAGATTTTGGGATAGTGGTAGAAGCGTAAAATCTCCCTTCATGGAGCCAGAAGCGTTGGACAAGTCAGAAAAGAGCCACAACGGCCTCCGTTGCACCAAAAGCGCCTAGTAGGACGCTTATGCGCTGTAGGACGAGGCAGAGACGTTACCACCACGGCCGGTCCAGTTGATGTGGATGTCCTTGCCCTCGGGAAGCTTGTCGCTGGCGAACTGGGGAAGAACGCGGAAGGTGTGGGCACCAAAGTAGTCACGCTGAGCCTGGAGGAGGTTAGCGGGGAGCAGCTCGCGACGGTAACCGTCGAAGAAGGCGAGAGCGGTGGAGAATGCGGGGGTGGGAATACCCCAGAGGATGGCCTGAGCGACCACGCGACGCCAGCCCTCCTGAGCGTTGTGGATGGCCTTGTTGAAGAAGTCGTCGAAGAGAAGATTCTCGAGCTCGGGGTTCTTGCGGAAAGCAGCGGTGATGTCCTTGAGGAAGACGGATCGGATAATGCAACCACCACGCCACATGAGAGCGATCGAGGGGTTGTTGAGCTTCCAGTCGTACTCCTTGGCAGCCTCGCGCATGAGCATGAAGCCCTGGGCGTACGAGACAATCTTGGAGGCGTAGAGAGCCTGCTCGAGGTCAGCAATGAACTGTTCCTTGTTGCCCTCGAAGGGCTTGATCTGAGGGCCACCGAGAACCTTGGAGGCACGGGTTCGCTCGCCCTTGAGCGACGAGAGGCAACGGGCAAAGACGGCCTCACCGATAAGGGTGACGGGCTGACCAAGATCGAGAGCGTTGATGGCGGTCCACTTGCCGGTACCCTTCTGTCCAGCGGAGTCGAGGATCTTGGTGAGGAGGGGGGTTCCATCCTCGTCGTTGTACTTGAGAATGTCACGGGTAATCTCGATCAAGAACGAGTCGAGAACACCAGTGTTCCACTTCGTGAAGATGTCACCGACCTCGGACTCCTTGAGGCCGAGACCGTGCTTGAGGATGTCGTAGGCCTCGCAGATGAGCTGCATGTCACCGTACTCGATACCGTTGTGGACCATCTTGACATAGTGGCCGGCACCGGTCTGGCCGACCCAGTCACAGCAGGGCTCACCGTCGGACTGGGCAGCAGTCTTCTGGAAGATCTCCTTGATGTGGGGCCAGGCGGCATCGGAACCACCGGGCATGAGCGAGGGACCGTGACGGGCACCCTCTTCACCACCAGAGACACCAGAGCCGACAAAGAGGAGACCCTTGGCCTCGAGCTCCTTGGCGCGGCGGATGGAGTCGGGATAGTGCGAGTTACCACCGTCGATGATGATATCGCCCTGCTCGAGGTGGGGCACGAGCTGCTCAATGAAAGCGTCAACGGCGGGACCGGCCTTGACGAGGAGGATCATCTTACGGGGGCGCTTGAGCTTGGCAACAAACTCCTCGATGGACTTGGCGCCAACGACGTTGGTGCCTGTGTCGATTCGGATCAACAGTCGAGAAGCAAGACAATCCAGCCAATTCGGAAGAGAGGGGGATGGGAGAAGGGTCTGTCAGAAATCAACTTCTCTTCGCAATTACGAAGAGCATTCTGCTCCTTGCGGGTCAGGCTTTCTCATCCGCGGGCCCAACCTTCTCAGCGCACTGCGCCGGAAGCACGGGTCCGGAAGCCTGCCTGCGAGTCAAGCAACAAGCTCGTGACAGAGTCGGTTTACTCACCCTTAGCCTCGTTGGCGAGGAAGTTGTCAACTTTGCTGGTGGTACGGTTGTAGGCACAGACAGTGAATCCCTTGTCTGTGTGTGTCGAAAAAAAACCAAGCAGAATGGATCAGAGAGGAATAGTCAGCATCACTGTTTCCACGATCAAGCTGTTCCGTCTCTGAACGGAGCATCCGTGTTCCAAAGGAGCTCGCAATCCGCAGAGTGTGAGAGACACGTACCGTTCATGTTGAGGATCAAGTTCTGACCCATGACGGCAAGGCCGATGAGGCCAATATCGGCACTGTGGACGGAAAATAGAAGACAGCGAGCACGGCGAAATACAGAAGAATGTTAGCATTCACATCGTGATGGGGCTGAAGCTGTCGCCACTGGCGATCCAGTGATAAGCAGTCTGTCCGAAAGCGAACGGAGAAGGAGTACTTACACAGCTTGAGACGACATTGTGCGTGAAGTAAGCTGGGCAGCGAGGGAAGAGATGCGGTTCCGAGCTGTAGAGAGAATCCTTGCAACTGCTAAAGAGCAAAAGGCAAAGAACAGAGGAGGTGGTGGTGGTTGTGGTAGCGGTTAAAAAGTAGGAGAGAGGATGCTTCGAGGATGAAGACAAGAGATGGATGGTGTTGACCGGGAAAGGGCGTTAAGCAGTCGACTGAGAAGAAAGCAGCAGCGGTCCGAAGTTGCGAAGCTGATGGCAGGGACGAACGGACGGCAACGCTCTCAATCAGCAAGCACACCAGAGCGCAGGCAGGAGTGGAGCCGAATGAGTGTTGCTTCTCAGCTGACGGCAACTTCACTCGCCTAGTGCATGGACCGCACACACTGAGTTCGACCGCTGAGATCGATTTTGCAGGGTCAAAAACGATCGCAGAAAATCAGCGAACAAGGAAGGCCCAAACGCACAAACACACTGCGACCGTGCACCCCAATCCTTCTTCTTAAGCAACTGACAGACGAGCAATTTCCGAATAAGTTGATATTCTTCAGAAGGTGAGGATAATCACTCAGCGCTGCTTGAACTGATCTGCTATGCTGTACGATTGTGCTTCATGATGCAGCGACACACACGCAAAACAATTTCTCTTCCTTTCTCTCTCTCTTATATTCCCGTCTTCGCTGATTCGGTCGTTGCATAAAGCTATGTCCGCATCCAAAGCTACAGCTCCCCCCAAAGGCAAACTTGAGAAAGATGACTGGATGCTGACCGCGCAAAAACGAGCTTGTTTGCCGCTGCAGTCACTCACTTGTCCTCGAACTGTGCTGGACACTCGCTCGCCTCTCGCGGCAGTACGTATCAGATCATCCGATCTCATCCCACTATCCCACTCAATCTTATCCCACACTGCCCCTAGCATCTACCGGAATGATTGTCACGCCAAAACCTAACATACGAGCGACTCCAAACATGACAAATAACATCGAAAGAAAAGGTAGAGAAGGGTTCTATTGCCAACCCGCGGGGGGTCAATTCGAAGCTAGGAAGGGTGACCAGTCCGGAGATCCTGCTCAATGCCTCCGTGCGTGATGATGCTCACTTTGACCGATCGATAACGCTCGCGCGCTTCTGTGCCGATCAATTTGCTGCACCCTGGCCTGTCACTCCGTCGAGATTTCATCGCTCGAAGTGTCCGATAAGAGCTGCGGTCTAACAAAAATCTCGAAATCTAAGCTCATGAGCCCGGACCGGACTTCTTCCCGAACTCTAGACCGCCATCATATCGAGTCCATTCGAACTGAATTTCAATCCAATCGCCGGCACTCTAGGCTTCTCGAGGTGTCAGTGAGCTTTCTGTATCCCCAAGGCATCGTCAAAGGCTCATCGACTCAGTTCCGACAGCAAAGCGGCTGTATACTCTGCTCATACTGTGTTGATTTCGACGAGATCGCCGGTTTTAGTTGGCGTCGTTCACTGGACCAGTTTGCCGAATGCTGTAACAGACATGAGGGGTGTGGGGGATGGATGAGATCGCAGTTCCTTGGATTTTGCGATGCTGATGCGAAAGAGTTGCTGAAGGTAGAATACAGTGTGTCCGAGGTCCATCTTCCGATGGCGATGATCTATATACAGAATGAATACATGCACTTGTTAGGAGTGATTCCGGGAACGGCGAAGAGCCGTGAATGAGGATATGTGAAGGTGAGAACATTGGAAGATCAAGACTGCGCTGGCTTGACTTGGAGCACTCCAATGGAGCCACCAAAGCCAAACAGGAGCGTACTCTCGTTGCGTTGCGGCGTCGCAAAGCCATGTACCGGATGGAGGCGGGAGAAAGAGAGGGCGTCATCCAATGATGAGTCCTGAGATGGTCGTCGACCATTGAGCTGCCCTTGCAGCGATGTTCTCGATGGCGCATTGTAGGTAGCCGTCTCTGACTGCAGGAGCAAAGCCTGACGAGGAACGATCAACTCTCCGCCACGTCCCAGCACCAGCTCATCGCGCAGATCTAATGTCCACCACTCCCATCGACTGGCATGAGTGCTTCGCTGTGCTCGACCGATACCAACAAGAAGTGTCTTGCTTGCAGTCGCAAAACTGCCGCCTCGTTGACATCGAACCCAGCCTAGAAGTCGCAGTTGCCGCTCGTCGGTCTTTTGTGTGGGGTTGCTAGGTGGTGGCAAGTTCGGTAACACTGAAAGACTGGATGATGCGGCAGTAGCTTGCGAAGTGACATCGGCTCCCATGACAGTACTGCTGCGGTCTCTGACGTGAGCGCTGGCTCGTCGCAGCCTCGATGCAGATCCGTGCGATGACATGGGATACGACAAGGGGTTGGCAA